AAGGGTAATATGAAATTATAATTTTTTATTAGGATAAAATCATATTTTTTAACGATTATATTAATAGATATCAACAAAAAGTGGTTATTTNGAATCCACAAAATAAAGGGTAATATGAAATTATAATTTTTTATTAGGATAAAATCATATTTTTTAACGATTATATTAATAGATATCAACAAAAAGTGGTTATTTTTACACATGTACAAACGTCATGAGATGTAAGAGTAATATTCTAAATGTGAAGGGGTTCAAATGATTAAATGACAAACATGAGGGGATCTAGGTATAATTTATCAATTTAGTTTTAAGTGCACATTAATACAGATTTCTATCTTTGAGGGTGCAAATTGAGATTTTTGATCTTTGAGGGTATACATTGATATAAATTTTTATCTTTGAGGGTGCAAATTGAGATTTTTGATATTTGGGGGTGTACATTGATACAATTTTCTATCTTTGAGGGTGTAAATTAAAATTTTTAATCTTTAGAGGTGTAAATTGAGATTCGAACAATCTTTCAGAGTGCAAAATGAGATTAACCCTAGAAATTAAAGAGGGAAAGGAGTACAGGAGCAAAGAAAGCATTTTGGGAATTTTGGTGGTGGGGCCGGTTTTGGTGGTGGTGGTGGAGGATTAGGTGGAGGGTCTGGTTTTGGAGCTGGTGACAGATTTAGCTAAAAGAAAACAATGGTCTAGCAAGATCTATACAAATCCATATCCAAAGAAGAAAACCAAGATCCAAAAGAAAACCCAGATCAAAAAGAAAATACAAACCCAGATCAGCGACTTACCTGCGTCACCAGAGATGTACCTTCGTTTCACCGGAGCTGAGAGATCTAGATTTGATACCAAATCTTCAGACCGAGCTAATCTCTATCTTTTTCTGCCAAACATTCACAACACTACTCTTTGAAGTCACCTGGGTTTTTAAAAATGAGTTGATTTCATTTTGTGTTGATATTAGAATTTAATGTAAAGGTTGAGAAATACTGTCATATAATACGTTGTAAATTACTTTTTTTTTTTTTTAACTACAATCATAAGAATAATTGCTGGGCAGATCTGTCATATAATCGGATAATCCGTTGTAAATTATTCTTATGATTGTAGGATTAAAATAAATAATATATACAATTTTTTTAATCATATATAACACTTAAAAATTCATTAACACATTTTTTTTCATGCAGGAATAATTCTGACTTGGACTTTTTTTAAAAATTTATTTCTCCATAATTGTTTCAAGTAACTAGTAAAAGAATGAATAGGAAGTAATTATGATAGGAAGCAAATACAAGAAATTTTTTTTTCTAATTTAATTTTATCGTTAATATATTAAAAGAAAAATTATAGTAGGAAGTAAATATAATACATAACGGACTAAAGAATTTGATGAGACATTCCTAAAAAGGTGTTGGTGTGATAACATGCGTCCTCGGTCTTGAGGGCCTCTCCTTGCCTCGATTTGGCGAGTCCACGTGTTCTCGGCCTCAACGTCTTCTCTGCTCAGAAGGATTGACTCCAGTATCTCCATCGACCCCAAGGGGTTTCCTCGGGTCCGAGGAACCACGTCATCAATCCTTGAGTCATTGGTTCTTTAGGAAGCCAGTGACTGACGAATGAAACATAGCTACACAGGCAATTGCGATGGCAGTCTACACAATGAAGTTAGTATGACTGGATGGACTAGACGTTCATCCAATGAGAGTTAGACGCGTGACATAAAACATAGGATGAGTGAAAAAAGACAGAACTATCCCTGCTGATATGCGGCTAATTGGGATTGGCAGTTAATGCGTTGTCAGTTGATAAGACACCTGACATGGCTTGATAAGTCGAGAAGGAGAAGCATTAAATGCTCTGTGAGCTGAGCATTCAATTCCTCAACATTGGAGAAAGAGCATTGAATGCCCAATAGTGCGAGCAATTAAGATGGGAGCATTCCCCGTGAGAAGTATGGGGCATACTATCCCACCTCTGAAGATTACCTAGTGAGTAGACTGTCAGTGATGATTAGCTTTTGAAGGTATTAATAGCTCTTAGAAACACATTGCTAAGGTACGTGAAATCGTTTCTCAAGAACCCATAAACAGTGTTTTCTTCCTCCCCTTTTCCAAAGAATTGACTTGACCGTCGGAGGGGATATGCCGAAGAACACTCTGGCGCCCTTCTAACCTGTTCTCTGTGTTCTAGGAATTCCTTGCGAACCACCAGAATTGGTTTGACATCATCAGGAGCAATTCATCACCAGTCCTTAGGTCCCTTTTGACCCTCTCAACCTATTCCTTGTTGTCGAATCCACTGTTTCGACGGGTCAAATCTCATCGTGGGAAAGATTTGTTTCCATTCCAACTATTGTGCAAAAATTCCCCCGCACAATCTGGCGCTGTCCATGCGAAATGACTAGAGTTTTCAAAGAACAGTGACCATGATGAACACTCGACAAAAAGGTAAGGATCCTCAACAAAGGGATACCAGTTTACTAGCCCCCTCTTGTTCGAAAACGAGGAACTATGCCGAAAGTGCCAACAAAGAACTCACCGTTCATACGAAGAAACATACCCCCCAGACTAGTGTGGATATTTGGTCTGGAGGGTCCGCCCCGCTAGCTCGTCAACTGGCTGAGGTGATCGAAAAAAATTTTAGTAATCAATTACGGCAACTGGAGGAAGACAACGTGAATGTACTCAATCGCCTTGATGAGTTTGTAGCCTCTGGCGGATGATCGTGAAATTCACTTCGATCCCGGGAGCCTTCCGTCAATGAGGTAGAGCTTGAGGATTTGAGAAATCGTTTGAGCAATCGAGCGGGAAGTTCCAGGACTCCAAAGCGACCAAGGGCCAAGGGACAACTCCCGGAGGTTTTAGCCAAGAGGGCGAGGCTGTTGGCTTGGAATGACCTTCGTCGGGGACTGTTCGGGTGAGGGAGCATGAAAGAGTTCGAGAAGGGGTCGACCCTCTCTATCTGGCATGAGATGAAGGGTTATACCATCCGACGCTGAACACACAAAGAGACGCTCCCTGAGCAAGGGGACGACCTCAGAGCTCGGCTGGACTCCAGGAGAAAAAATAAGACTCAGCAAGAGGACGATACTGACGACGAAGGCATCCAATCACCTTTTACAAGGAACATAATGGAGATGGAGGTGCCCAAGAAGTTTGCGGTGCCAAGGTTCAAGGTCTACGATGGACGATTCGATCCCAAGCCTACCTCAGGCAGTATAAGCAAATGATGTCCGTATACCACTCGGATCAGCGATTACTGTGTCGAGTATTCTCAATGAGCCTAGGGGACTCCGCCATGAAATGGTTTGAAACATTTCCGCCTAATAACATAGGATCTTGGAAGGAGCTTATCAGACAATTTTTCGCCCAGTTTGTCACTAGAAGTAGGCGACCCAAAGATGTCGGATCACTATTGACCCTGAGGTGGAAGGAGGGAGAGATCCTTCGGCAATATGCCATGGAAATTAAGGGATATTTATGGCGTAGATTTGGAGGAGTCTTGACAAGTTCAAATTCAAGTTGCGTTATATATATAAAGAAGGTAATGTCAAAGCTGATTTTTTGGCTTCCCTTGCTGTGCAGTTTGGCAGGAATTTTGTGTTTTCTGGAAATGATATTTTGCCCTTGTTGGGAGAGTACTTTTACAACAGGATGAAGGTAGATTACCTACTGCTAGGTTGAAGAAAGTTGTGGTATTTGATAAGAGGAATGGAGCTGGATGATATTTTTTGTTCCCATAAATTGATTTCCTAGTTTTTGATCCATTGAAGGATTAAAACCAACTTTGAAATTTTTGAGAAATGCATTTGATTGGTGATGTTGTACTGCATTTTTTGCTCAAACTGTGTTATAGAACATATTTAGGATATTATTTAAGATAAAACTTGAGTTAGTTACCAAACATATTTTCTGTTTTTATTCTCATAATTTGATAGACAAAAATGACTATTAAACATATTTTCTGTTTCGGTGTTTACCACAAAACAGAGACAAAAAATTGTTTCTGTTTTTAGTTTTTTGAAAACGCAAAAACAAAAACGTTACCAAACGACCCCTAAGTCTTCTCATTTTATACTCTCAAAGAAGAGAGTTCTCACATTATATCCTTAATTTATTAAAAGTGTTGTAATATGACTCTTCTATTACCTTCCGTTTCTTATTCCGTCAAATCTAACTCATTGACTTTGACGGAATGAGTAATACAAACTAACGAAATGGTCACATTACAACACTTTTAACACATTGAGGGTACAATGCGAAAAATCTAACATTTAATGATAGAAAGTAATATTTTTTAAATATTTCAGAATAAAAATTGTAATTTGCCCATTAAAAAATTATTACTTTGACCCTTTTAACTTCGTGTCTTGTGTTTTCACGTTGTTTTACCAACCATTACGTTTATCACATTGTAATTCAAATTATGTAATTGGTTTCAAATTTTCCCCTCTACTATTAGGTTTATTAAATACCACCTCAAATTATAGTTATAAATTTATGTCGATTCAATGATAGACATTAAAAACCTACTTTTTACTACACGTTTGGACTTTTTTTTATACAAAATATGTCAAACTTTTGGGTTTGGGAAAATGTGATATCAGCTCAATTTGGTTGAGTGAATAATGTGAGAAATTCAATACTAGATAAGTAAAATAAAATTAGAGTCATAATTGGGATGATCAAAATATAATTTTCTTAGTTTTGATACAAACAGGTGGTTGGAGGCAGATAGGTTTTTCACAAGCAATTTCAACGAGGACACATACACAAAGAAGGGCCTTGAATGGGTTAACACTACAGAGAGCTTGAAAGATGTGTTAGATCGACCTTACCCTGAGATGACACAGAAATGGATGAATTGCACCAGTGCTTTCTCGGTGTGGGACTTTGCTCCAAACTCTTACAATCCCATCCCACTCTACCTTCGTGTTCCTGAATAAAAGCAAGTAGAAACTCTTGTGTTGTGCGTCCACTTTATATAAATTGAATGACTCAGTACTGAACGTTTGTTTTTATTTGTCGTGTGTCTACTTTATATATGTTGAATAACTAAGTACCGGTCTGTCTTGTTTATTTGTTTTTGACATTTATGTTCTCTATATGATGTTTTATGTATTTGACCTTGCAAAAGGAGTATGTATAATTGGTGTATTGTATTTATGATATTTGTATTATTTCTTTTTTCAATTTCGACTTATTTTTCTCGTGTGTTTACTTAGTTTTTCAAATTTAAATACAACTACCTTAGAATTCAATTGCAAACATCCCCGCAAAAATAAAATATGTCACACACGACTCGGAAGAATTGATGGGTGTGAGAAGAGAGAAGCGTGAGGTGAAACGAATTGGATAAGTTATGTCTGAAGTGTGTTGAGTGTACTGGAGAAAAATAAACAAATGAATCAATTGATAAAGTGGTTCACTCAGCTGAATTGGTGATTTGGTTGTTTAACTGTTAAATCACCACTTATATTATTAATTATGTTTCATTTATTCCAATAACAAATACATCCCGTACTCTTTTGAAAATGAATTACTTATATTTATACTCATTTTTTACTTATGTTTTTAAACGTAAAGTTTTTTAAATTTTTATAGACTTATTGATAATTACTATAAGGTACACCAAATTTTTTGCTTTTTGTGTTGCGAGAGAGAGAGAGAGAGAGAGAGAGAGAGAGAGAGAGAGAGAGAGAGAGAGAGAGAGAGAGAGAGCTTTTAAAGGCAGAAATAAGGCTCAGCTACCCATTCATGATTCCAAGGGAGTTTATTGCACATGTGTCAGTGGACCGCCTGCAAAGAACTTGGGCCACGTAAGTACATTCTGCTCATTCATGATCTCAATCAAGGGCATGTCTATTGCACAGAGGGGGCCCTTGCCAAGTACTTGGGTTAAGTGCATTTGAGTACAAACATTTTTTGGGGCCTTAAATTTGAGGGCTTAGGCTTGCTTTCAAGGGTCAGTCTTGTTGAGTAGTTGGGTTAATCCATCGTAATAAAAACTTTTACTCCTCCTTAGTGTATATTGTTTGAAGAAGAATATGAGTACAATCGTTCTATTCTCTTGAAAAAAGTATGTGCTCATCTTTTCTTATACATAGGTAATCATTGTTATCTCTAACCGAATTGTTAGGAAATAATATTGAAGAATATTTGTCCGTTAGAGACTATTTTTCTTAAGTGTAATGTATTTTATAATGTTTCGTTTGGTAGAGAAAATAAAAAATAGGAGGGATACACTTTCTATCCTTCAAGGATGAAAAATAGGAAGGACACACTTTCCTTCCTTTGTGTTTGGTTAGATAGATGGATGAAAAACAAAAATGACTACTTTTTTTTTTTAGCTGGCTAAGATTAGGGGTGACAATCGAGTCGTGTCGTATCAGATTCGTGTTGAGTCATTACGGGATTGTGTTGAATATTAGTCAAACCTAACTTAACTCATTTAACTAATTGTGTCGTGTCGAGTTGGTAGTTGACCTGTTTATTTTCGTATCGAGTTTGAATCGTATTATCGTATTGAGTCAAAAATTTTCACCCTAGTTAGGATGGAAATTTTTTTTTTTTAATTTTTAATTTTTTTAAAAAAAATTTTAAAATATATATATACATATTTTACCATTGTATTTTTATATGAAATTAATGTATACATGATATATGTATATATAAAAAGATATATAGACAAATAAGATACATCTCAATATAAATAATTAATTTTTTATTCACTTTCTTTCCGATTTTGGAAGGATTGATTTTGGTGAGTTGGAAGGAAAGTTAATCCATCCACTTTTCTATCATTCCTTATCAAACATGATGTTTTATTTATATTTTCAACTTTTCATTCTTTCAACATTCAATCCTCCCACTTTTCTATCGTACCAAAGAGATCATAAATCATAACGTGACTTTCTAGTAGTAATGTCTCTTGTCCAAGATAAGATTAACTAGTGAAAGTTCTCTTCTACCCCTTCGCTATCATGTCCTATTCATAATTTGAGCTAGACCTTTTCTTTTGATATAATCAACAACTATAAAGAAAATCCCCACCATGGGACGTCCTCCCTGTTGGGTGTGACCGAGATTAACCAAACTTCAAAAAAGTAATAATATTATTTGAACATAATTTGTTAACTTGATTAGTTAATCCAGTTTATCATAGTCATTGAATTAATAATATTTTTCAACAACAATGAGATTTACTATCAATTTAATAACTGATTGAATTCAAATTAAACACGATGACTAATTATAACCATTACAAATTCCCGAGTTTGGCTTCTCTCTATTTTTAAAATAATTGGAGGACTCTCCAATTCTGCTTTGAATGACAAGAACATGCATACATCAATAATGCAATTTTATTTTTAATTTCAAGAATATAAAGTAATTATTGAATGATACAAAATATGCTGACATGTATAAATTCTCCCCATTTAAAAAAAAATACAATTACTGCTAAGTTGTTTATTCTGCAATATAATTATTAGATTAAAGATGAACTCTATCTGAAATTAGAATTCACAATTAAGTCAATAACCGTATAAAAAAAATATTCCAACATACCCACCACTATAAGTTATAACCAATTGACTAGAAATTTACCACCTTATTACTATTAACGAAAGACAACTGGGGCTGTTTGGTATTTGGGTTTGAGGAGGTTTTGAAACATGTGTTGGGGACTAAACCCCTTTAAATTCATGTTCGGTAACTATCCATCTAATCTAAGTTTTGAAATTTGGCCCGGTCAAGAAACCCATGGAGGGGGTGGGTTTCATATTTTGGTTTGGGGGTTTCATATTCAAATAACATTTATACCCCTCATATATCCATACTCATGTTTAGATTAAATTAGTTAAAAGACATAATAGTTATTTATATACAAATATATTATCATAATAATCATATATATCCCTGCATATACCAAACATAGATATAAACAACATAAAATATTGAATCTCATCTTTGAATCAAACCCTAGTTTAAACAAACCAACCCAAACCTCTCTCAAATAACATGTCAAACAAACCCTTCGAGTAATGTCCAAGTGAGATCTCAATTTGAAAATTTTTAGTTGACTTGATTTTTAATATGCGGAAATTGTGGCCGTTCGATCAAAAACATGGGGATGCGTATCACGTCCAAACGGGTTAATTGAACGTCCAAACGTTTCATAGAAAAAATAGGGGTGGGTCGGATCCCCTACTCTGCAAAAACCAAAAAGCCCAGAAAACGTGTCAACATCCGATTGCCCAAAGCCCCAGTTTTCTCTATAAAGTCCAGAAGTCAACCAATAGCAAAGGAGCCCGTGAGCAGCTGATTACAACCCACCAGCTAGCCGTCGGTTGCTTCAAACTTCTCCTCCAAGCAGTACTCCGGCATCTTCTCCACCAAGCACTCCGGTCACATAGCCGGCAAGTGGGGATCTTGCAAAACACCCTATAGACAATCACATTAGAACCTCAATTTCATTAAATTAAAGTGTCGTATTAAATTATAATTGATACGTGATACTATTGAAGAAATATAAACAAATGAATCGATCAAGTAAATTTTACTATTCTATTAGCCAGCACATCCCGTAATTATAACATCTGATTAAATAGGGTTCACTAAGCTATTTCTCTATTTTCAATTGGTTGGTGAGCTTTGGATCATTAATGACGTATTATTACTATTGGATTAATATTTTCTGCTCTTTTATTTTTTTTTTTATTATGAGACAAGAACTTTTTCAGGGTCATATTAGAGTCAAGTAATGCTACATGGACTTAAAAATTAGATTTAATAATCTTAACCATTAAATAAATAGTGGGTCTCAATAAATACTGGGACCCACAGTAAAATCAATAATTAAGATTATCAAGTCTAATTTTTAAGTCTACTTTTTAACTTCATGTAACGTTGCTCGTATAATAAACCTCGGATATCAAAAATGGTTCGCAAATTATAAATATTAATTAAACTTGAAAGTCATTGACAAGAGTAATAACCAAAACATCTAAATTTATGATTTGTACTCAACTAACCACATGTTTATGGAATAGCCTTTTTGGGTTTTCTCTTCTTTCTCTTGGTGCACATTGAAAGCATATATATATATACACAGACATGTTGACCTTGTTGGGTTATGTGTTCCTGAAATAGGCCTTGAGAAAGAAACAATTCGTGCAGTTATGAAATTCATTAAGTCCATTTTGATTGAACCACTGCACCATTTCATCCATAGAGACTTCCATGAAGTTGTAGCAAGGATGACTCTCATGGATAGACTTCTCTTTCTAGTAAAACTTTCCTCACAATCTCATCTTCCTCGTCTAATTATGTATTTTTCTTCATTTCATTACCCTTTGTTTTAACTTGTGAGATCAATGATCATATAACTCATCACTTTATTTTCTAAATGCAGGTCATTCACTCCATTGATAAGTTGGGTATATGGCACCGATTACCAGTCTTCTTGGGTCTGTTTTATCTGGCCATTCGTCGACACCTTCACCAGCAATACAACTTGTTCAACGTTGGCACCACTCCGGTTGGTGTTCGGTCCAATCACGCCGATTTTCCTTTTAGGACAGCCGATGGAAAGTTTAATGATCCANTTTCTCTATAAAGTCCAGAAGTCAACCAATAGCAAAGGAGCCCGTGAGCAGCTGATTACAACCCACCAGCTAGCCGTCGGTTGCTTCAAACTTCTCCTCCAAGCAGTACTCCGGCATCTTCTCCACCAAGCACTCCGGTCACATAGCCGGCAAGTGGGGATCTTGCAAAACACCCTATAGACAATCACATTAGAACCTCAATTTCATTAAATTAAAGTGTCGTATTAAATTATAATTGATACGTGATACTATTGAAGAAATATAAACAAATGAATCGATCAAGTAAATTTTACTATTCTATTAGCCAGCACATCCCGTAATTATAACATCTGATTAAATAGGGTTCACTAAGCTATTTCTCTATTTTCAATTGGTTGGTGAGCTTTGGATCATTAATGACGTATTATTACTATTGGATTAATATTTTCTGCTCTTTTATTTTTTTTTTTATTATGAGACAAGAACTTTTTCAGGGTCATATTAGAGTCAAGTAATGCTACATGGACTTAAAAATTAGATTTAATAATCTTAACCATTAAATAAATAGTGGGTCTCAATAAATACTGGGACCCACAGTAAAATCAATAATTAAGATTATCAAGTCTAATTTTTAAGTCTACTTTTTAACTTCATGTAACGTTGCTCGTATAATAAACCTCGGATATCAAAAATGGTTCGCAAATTATAAATATTAATTAAACTTGAAAGTCATTGACAAGAGTAATAACCAAAACATCTAAATTTATGATTTGTACTCAACTAACCACATGTTTATGGAATAGCCTTTTTGGGTTTTCTCTTCTTTCTCTTGGTGCACATTGAAAGCATATATATATATACACAGACATGTTGACCTTGTTGGGTTATGTGTTCCTGAAATAGGCCTTGAGAAAGAAACAATTCGTGCAGTTATGAAATTCATTAAGTCCATTTTGATTGAACCACTGCACCATTTCATCCATAGAGACTTCCATGAAGTTGTAGCAAGGATGACTCTCATGGATAGACTTCTCTTTCTAGTAAAACTTTCCTCACAATCTCATCTTCCTCGTCTAATTATGTATTTTTCTTCATTTCATTACCCTTTGTTTTAACTTGTGAGATCAATGATCATATAACTCATCACTTTATTTTCTAAATGCAGGTCATTCACTCCATTGATAAGTTGGGTATATGGCACCGATTACCAGTCTTCTTGGGTCTGTTTTATCTGGCCATTCGTCGACACCTTCACCAGCAATACAACTTGTTCAACGTTGGCACCACTCCGGTTGGTGTTCGGTCCAATCACGCCGATTTTCCTTTTAGGACAGCCGATGGAAAGTTTAATGATCCATTCAATGAAGGTGCCGGAAGCCAGGGAACTTTCTTTGGCAGGAACATTCTTCCTGTTGATGAGAAAAATAAGGTAAGAAAAGGTGACAATGACATACAGCGTTTTTATTCTACCAATAACGGATAATGCTAGACTGACCGAAAAATAGACTAAAAACAGGGACTATTTTTGGGTGAGGCTCCATGATACCATAGTTCTTTGGCGCAATAAATTTATCTTCTGTGGTACGTGCCAAAACTGCAAGTCAGAAGAAAAAAACGAGGTGTTCTCTTTACACGATTAAATAGACTCCTACATAAATAGTTATTAATTTCTGAACAATGTTATTGAGAATTAATGCAGGGATAGAACCAGAATTCTAGTCCAAGGGGGGGCCAAATTATAGTGTGTTTAAAAATTTTGTTAACTAAAACAACAGTTTTACAAAACGTATTAGAACTAACTTTTATACAATAACATTATAAAAACTAACTTAGGTTATAAAATTCAAGGGTCGGTAATTTGGGGACTTAATTCAATGCAACCTTTGGATTAAAAGTAGACTCCATATAATATTGGAACTTACAACTAATCCAATGATTGAATTGAATTAAATCTTTATAGCATTGGTCAAAAAAAAATTATAACTTATTAATGTGCCCACCACCTTAAAGTATTTTTGCGACTCCGCTTTGCTATCGAGCCTCTAATAAATCTTTAACATACAGTATATCCGGATACTTTCAATATACTTTACCTTGCAATGGTCATGTTTTATGTTAATGTCGAAGAATAAAACTAAAATAAGACCACTACTAGGGCTGCACAATAACACCATTTTGATCTTCATATGATCTCTTTCTCTTAATTTTAACACTTAAATTTTATACGATGATATATGTGCAGCTAAAGAGGCCAGATCCCATGGTGGTGGCCACAAAGCTGCTGGCTCGCAGAACTCCTGTAGACACAGGAAAGCAATTCAACATGATAGCAGCTTCTTGGATACAGTTCATGATTCATGATTGGATAGACCACTTAGAGGATACTCACCAGGTCAGAGATCAGATAACAATCGATATACTTTAAGTTGTTAGATATGATGGAACTTAAGTAATTGTACTTCGCTGGTTATTTTTAAGTTGACAAGTTTTCGTTTTTAATATAATTTATGTTTCTTTCTGTGTCTTGGATGATTGAATTTGATTAAAACTGTAATTGATCATGTTCATTTCTTGACAATATCACTGTAGATTGAGCTCACTGCACCTAGAGAAGTTGCAAGTCAGTGCCCTCTTCAATCCTTCAAATTTTACCAGACAAAGGAGGTTCCTACTGGCTTTTATGAGATCAAAAGTGGTTCCTTGAACATTCGAACACCTTGGTGGTAAGTACCCTATTTGCTTTCTATCACAATCCTGCTTTAACTTTTGCTTCATGAGAGTTACAAATAAAATTATGGTGCTTTCGGGATTTGATTTAATTAGGGATGTAACCTATATATATTAATAAGTTGTAACCTTGTTTTTAATGTGGAATAAAAAACATGGCAATTGTTCTTTCGTGGACGTAGGCAAGTTGCCGAACCATGTAAAATTCTTGTGTTCATCTTCTAATTTTTATGTTCTTTGATTGTTTATCGCACACGAATTACACAAATTACAACAGTACAGTTTTCAATATCACCAAGTGCGTAGAGATTTCAATGTTCCTTCTTTCTTCTGTTCTTTATCTGTCTTCCGCTTCATGCATGCTTTTGCATCCATGTGTGATTGCTACGTGAAGGGATGGAAGTGCAATATACGGAAGCAATGCTGAAAAGTTGCAGAAAGTGAGGACTTTCAGAGATGGGAAGCTCAAGATCGGAGATGATGACCTTCTTCTTCATGACCAAGATGGCTATCTCATCTCCGGCGATATTCGTAACAGTTGGGCTGGCCTTTCCACCTTGCAGGCCCTCTTCGTCAAGGAGCATAATGCAGTCTGCGATTCCTTGAAGGTAACCAAGGATATTCGGTGTCAAATCTCTTCCCATATATTACTCTTCAATTACCCATCTTGACGTTTGAAAAAAAAAATGTGTTTATGGACAATCAGTTCTTAATTGTTTTCCTCACCATGTTACAAGGTATTAGATTAGATTTCGTAAATACTAAGCTGTATCTGTTTGATACTTTAGAAGGAATATCCAGAATTAAACGATGAAGATTTGTACCGCCATGCAAGGCTAGTGACTTCTGCTGTAATTGCAAAGATCCACACCATCGATTGGACCGTTGAGCTTCTCAAAACAGATACACTACTTGCAGGAATGAGGTCCAATTGGTAAGCTATAGAACTAAGTTTCTAGTCTAATGTTTTAAGATCCTAAGATTAGTAGTAAGTATTAATATTGAATGGGAGCGAGTTTTAAACCAATAATAGTAATAGATCATATCGACGATTTAGAAAATGCATCCAAATAGCATCGTTGTGCAATAATATGGAGTTCTAACAAATTTTACATAATGATTACCAGCTTTGATTTTTTGTATACAACGACTTGTCTAGTGTACACCTATGCAAAAGGGAAAAGAAAACCATTAGGTAGATTTTAAGACTCAAACTCGGGGCAATGTTTGAGGATGAAAAGCTACTAAACATTTTAGATATATAGACCCACTTTGCTTCTTACTATGAATTTATTTACGACTTTCTGTCGAATTATTCCCATTACAAAATTCAGAAATTAATAAAAAAAAAATAAGCATCTTTCTTTTGGTATTGAATGTACATATATCAGGTATGGATTGTTGGGGAAACAATTCAAGGATACATTTGGGCACGTTGGAGGGGCTATCTTGGGAGGTCTTGTGGGTCTAAAGAAGCCTGAGAACCATGGTGTGCCGTATTCATTGACTGAGGAATTTGTCAGTGTTTATAGGATGCATTCGCTACTACCTGATCATCTTCTTCTCAGAAATACCAATGCACCCGCAGGACCAAATAAATCTCCACCGTTGATGGAAAGGTACACTTATGTGTAATGTGTTCATCCACCATTAAACCATCAATAGAATTTTTATCCCCTACCCCCTCCAATTTTTTTTTTAAAATAAAGTTTAATAGCACTTTTAGTCCGTAAAGAATGTTTATTTTATCAGTTTAGTCCTTATTATATTAATTTTATCAATTTAGACTCTAAAGTTTCAATTCGTGTCGCTTTATTCCTTAATCAGACAATTCATTAAATTTTTTGAGTCATTCTTTCAAACAGTATTATGTGTCTAACATGTGATTATTCTATCAAAAACTTAATAGTTCATCTATGTTGGGTTCATTTACATTCAAATTAAATATTTTATGAACCAAATTAATAAAATTGATATTTTAAGGACCAAACTGACAAAACGTGTATATTTTAAGGACAAAAAATGTTAGGATTAATTGCACTGAAGATCCCTAAAATATGTAGTTTATATCATTTTAGTCTCCAATATTTTAATTGCATCATTTTAATCCTTGAAGTAATGAATATGTTTCTATGTGGTCCTTCAAGCAGATAACGTCCAGATTGCTAACATTTTTTAAATATAAATTTGTCACGTGATACCTAAATATGAGTAAAAAAATAATTTGAAGAATATTTTTTACCTATATTTAAGTATCACGTGATAAGTTTGTAACTAAAAAATGTTAGCAATCTACCGTATAGAAACATATTCAATATTTTAGAGACTAAAATGATTTAATTAAAATTTTAACGACAAAAATGGGATAAACTCTATACTTTATAGACCTCTAATATAATTAATCCAAAATACTATTAACTCAAAAAATAAATTAAAAAACAGTTTTTATAGTAGAGTTAATGATTAGCGAAATTGCAGGGTCTCCATGCCAAATTTGATTGGTCGTAAAGGAGAACAAGCCTTGTCCAGCATTGGTTTTACAAAGCTAATGGTTTCAATGGGTCATCAAGCAAGTGGGGCCCTTGAGCTTTGGAATTATCCAGTGTGGCTCAGGGATATCATTCCCCAAGATATAGATGGTAGAGATAGACCTGATCATATCGACTTACTTGCTCTTGAAAGTAAGTACAAGCTAATCCAGTGCTTTTGTTTCTTTCTTTTTAAATGGGGTGCACTAATCTACATCATTCGTTGTGTGTGTGTGAGAGAGAGAGAGAGAGAGAGAGGTAATCAGTATGAATGTATGGTGGATGATGCAGTTTACAGGGACAGAGAGAGGAAAGTGGCCAGATACAATGAGTTTCGTAGGGCCCTCCTACTGATTCCCATTTCTAAATGGGAAGATCTGACGGATGATGATGAAGCAATTCAAGCACTGGAAGAAGTCTACGGTGATGATGTGGAAGAGCTTGACCTGCTAGTAGGGCTCATGGCAGAGAAGAAAATCAAGGGGTTTGCCATCAGTGAAACAGCCTTTATCATATTCCTTATAATGGCATCAAGGTAAACACAAACAATGTTCTATGCCCTTTTTTTGGTTTATGTTTTATAGGGTTATCAATAAACGGCACATAAATTTATCTGTGTATAAAGAGATTATTTACATTCTCGAACTTTTTTCGTTCAAAATATAGTTAAGTAAATTTATCATCATGTCAAGATCTCGAGTCTTTATTATAGTTTTATAGGTTTTTGATATATTGATAAATCATGCAGGAGGCTAGAAGCAGATAGATTTTTCACGAGTAATTTCAATGAGGAGACATACACAAAGAAGGGTTTTGAATGGGTTAACACCACAGAGAGCCTCAAACAAGTATTAGATCGACATTACCCCGAGATGATAGAGAAATGGATGAACTCCGCTAGTGCATTCACAGTGTGGGACTCTCCGCCAAACCCTCACAATCCCGTGCCACTCTATCTTCGTGTTCCTCATTGAAGCACAACGTATTAACCCCTCATACCTATGTAAATAGTAACGGGTGCCCTGTATATACATGTGTATATAAAAACATGATGTGTCACTAGATATTGAATAAGTCATTGAATAATGTGGTAATTGACATGGTTGGATAACATTGTTGTAATCATATATAATTGTATTTTATAGTAAGATTGTATCACATTTCATTTTTTTTATTAGTTTAACAGTCAGATGTGTTCGGACCAGTTTACGCACACTTCAATTAATTTCCTCTTTAATCCGGTCAAAGACAAGTCATCCATGTTAAAATTAAGATATTTATGTAAGATAAATCTCTCATTGTACTTTAGGGGTGCAACTTGGGTTGGACAACCTGATTTCAACCCGAGCCCAACCCAAAAAAATTAGGGTTTGAGCTAGGGTCTTTAATACTTGGGTTGGATTTGGATCAAAAACTCCAACCTGAATTCAATTTGGATTAGGCTCGGGTTAAGGCTTCGGGTTCACGGGTTCAACCCGAACCTGACAAATTATATATATATATATATATATATATATATAAAGTATTAACACTAATTTTTCATTTTTATTCTATCGTTCTTTGTCTCTTTCGTTTTCTCTTCTTCTCTCGTTCTCTCAGTTGTGAAAAAAAAGACAAAAATATATGGATTATGTTTTATTAATTTGTAATTATTTCCCCCTTTTTCTGTCTCTCTCGCAGTGGACTGGTGACAATGATTTTTATGTTAAAAACTTGGTTGAAGTTATTGGTTGTTAATTAATATAAATATTATATAATATATGTATTAAGTTTAGAACAACAAGCTTATTTTAGACTCTACTCGAACTCAACCCGTAAAATAATTTGAAATCATTAATCCGAATTCAACCCGAACCTTCTCGAATTAAACTCGGGCAGTGCTCGGGTTGAGTTCCGCAATCCGAGATAGAGTTAGGGTTAGGATTAGGATTAAGATTAAAAATCATATACTTAAAATTAGACTAAAGTTGACTGTCTAACCCATTCAACCCACCCGAATTACACCCCTATTGCACTTTGACCAGCTTCACTATTGATGTTTTCCCCGATAAAACATCAATAGTGAAGCATTACCTTTCCGTGTTTAGAGAGAAGCAGAAAAGGTACACGGAGAGACATGCTTGGAAGAGCAATTGAAGTCAGTCTTATCCTCACTCCTTAAAACGATTGTCAACAACTCTAATAGTCGAAAATCGACGATTTCAAACAATTGAGAGCCCTAATCTGTGTCTCTCTTCGCAACAGTCTCCCCCATACTCTTCCAAATGCAAGCTCTAAAACATGTTCGATTTGTTTAATTTGTCAACAAGTCCAAATGCATTTGCAGTCTTATTAGAGTAATATTCTCTATTTGATTTTTTTTTTTAAATTGTACTTACATCATCCAATCAATGATAGTTTAACAGTTATAGAAATTTGTTAATCAATCTCCCCTTCTTTTCTTTTTGGAAGAATTACATTCAAATCTCCTTAAATTTGTTACTTAATCACTCAAATTTTCTAACATTTAAAATATTATACACAAATTTTCTTGAGGTTTGTACTTGTGTGACACTTAGACCCCTACCTTTAATGTTAATTAATACATTCATTAATAAATTATATCAAAACCCTCTGAAATTTATAGGCATATACCCCTTAAGTTTAAAATGTTATAGTTAGATTAAAAATACTTCAATTAAAAATAAAATATCAAATATTCTAACTTTTACAACAAAAATTCATTTTCTATTAAGACATTTATTGAAATAAAATTAAAATTAAAAATTTAATATTTTTTCTTAAAAAATTATAGTTAGTATACAATTATACTATCTATTGGAATTTAATTTGGTCATTTAAACAATCAAATTAAACTACAAAATTACCTCAATTAAAGTTAGAAAATATTATCCCCATTATATTTTGACCATTTATTTGATTTTTTTAATATTATTCTAATAGATAGTATAATTATATATTAATTATAATTTTTTAAGAAAAATAATTTTTTATTTTTTATTTTATTTCAATAAATGACATGATAGAATATGAATTTTGGTTGTAAAATTCATATTTTATGAATAACTTAGGCCCCTTGTTTGATTTTTTTAGTTTTATTTTAATGGATAATATAATTGCATAATAATTACAATTTTTTAGGAAAAAATTAAATTTTTATATTTGATTTAATTTTAATAAATAATACAACAGAACATGAATTTTAATTATAAAATTTAAAATATTTGATACTAACAGACATTGATCACAGAAATTTAAGTGTTACTCATGTACAAAGCTCAAGGAGTTTGTATGTAATATTTCAAATATTAAGTGTCTGAGTGATTAAGTAACTAACTTTAAAGAACTTGTGCGTAATTCTCACTTCGTTTTTTTTTTTTATTTTCTTAATGATTATTCGAAAGCACCCTCAACACTTAAACACCAAATCACAGATCAGACCGTATATGGTTGACCTAATGATCCGGCATATCTCCGCCATTGGACCATAAAATTTTTGAACATATGAGATCTAGGGTATACTCTTCCCACGAAGTCTTCCCAGCCTCCTCATAAAAAAAAAAAAATTAAAAAATTAAAATCAAAAGGCAAATTATTTAGTGTGAGATAAGTGGACCCTATTAAAAAAATTAATAAGACCCACTTATTCAAAAAATAATATATATTTTAATTTTAATTTTTTAAATTTTATTATATTGCACTTTCATAAATAATTTAGTCTTTGTGCCCCCAAGAAAACCTGTCTCACCATCGCTTCGCTGGAATTACACAAGAATATGAAAAATCTTTGGACTCTCTCTTTATTCCCTATGTCACTTTTATTTGAAACTTTAACCCACCCAACTTCACATGCTCTTGCTAGAACAATTTTCGATCTCCATCTCTCTCAAGTGCCTCCCTTTGTTTTGGTTAACCCTTTCGCCCCCTCCTGTATCTCACCACTCTCGTTCTCAACCCACCCACTTTCTTTGCTCTTATTTAGGTGATTCTTTTCTTCCAAATCAAACCAATCGGCTTCTTTCTTGGTTCTTGTGCCTCAATTGTCTCTCAACTCAATTGGGTATGTGCCAGTTTTTGTGCTTTTCATATGTAATGTTTAGGGTTTCATTTTTAGTGTCTTTGATTTATCTGTTTGTGGGTTACTTCAATTTTTGTGTTATTGTTGGATTCTTTCGTTTTAATCGGTTGTAATCCTCGTTTGTTTGTTATTGTACGCTGAGTTCTCAATTCTTGCTTTCGGATTTGGATTTTGTCGTTTATTAGCTCACGATTGGTGGCTGCATCGATGTGATGAACTTGTGGGTTATCTTATTTTCTTGTAAATCTTTTTTCTTAGTTGGGGCCTTGTGAGATCTTGAATTTTGTTGGGTGTGCGCGTGTATTTGTGTGTGTGTGTGTGTGTTAAATTTGTTTCTTTTTCCTACAATTAAGGTTTATCTTTGTTGTTTTGAATTTTGAATTCAGAGACAATGTCACAAGGCTATTCAATTGAGCTTTACTTCGATCCTGCGCTTGAAAACCAAGTTCTGAAGGCCTGGAATGTATTGGCTCGACGCCAAATTAGTACTCAGCTAATTGAAATTGAATCAAGACCTCACATTACCCTCTTTTCTAGCCCGTTCATTGACCCATCGAAGCTCGAAAACATTGTGAAAAGTCTTGCTTCAAAGCAAGAACCTTTGCCTTTGTCTTTCTCTTCAATTGGAAGCCTCCCAAATGACAACAATGTTCTCTTTCTGGCCCCTACTCCATCTCTGTCTCTTCTTCAATTCCATTTACAGTTGTGTGAAGCAATGAAGAAGGACGGCATTGAAATTGGGGAGGAGTGTCGACCGGATTCGTGGATTCCTTATTGTCCAGTTGCTGAAGAAGTGCCAAAGACTCGAATGGCTGAGGCATTTACTGTTCTACGGGACTTGAAGTTGCCAGTTACTGGGTATGCAATGGATATTGGGTTGGTCGAGTATTCACCAGTCCGTGAACTCTTCTCTTTTGTGCTTGGTAATGCAGTAGAACTTTGATGTTCCTGATTGTTCGTTCTAATTAGGTTTGTCTTCTGGATCCTTCATCTTTGTCGTTAGTGAAATGCATTGTGCGTTGTAGATGATCATATCCTATAATAATTAGTAACAAATTCAGCCTTTAGTACTTGAAGTTGGTTGTTATATTTGCCTCAGGATTAAAATTTTTATGTTGGTTATGCTTCTACAATGGCTTTATTTACTGAATACTGTATTAGAATGGGAACGTCACTTTACCAGACTCTGCCAGTAGCTTTTCTTTTTGCTGGTTTTGATGTTAGACGAAACCCTCAGTGTAGTTTAAAATTGGAAGAAAGCCGTCTTTAATCTGTTCGGTTGCGTTAAAAGTATATAGCTCCGAGTTCATGAGCTTTGTTGCAAGGCTCAATGGCTAGAGCACAACATTGTCTGCACATTATTCCTCTTACACATTCTATTTCACTGTTCTATTAGATTACTTTTATGGAGCCACTTTTTGTGTTTTTTTTTTGTCGGTTGGGGGGGAAGATTGCGAGATCGAGATCTTGTCCTAATTATTTTTTCCAATGTCTTTTATGTTGAGGATGATTTAGTAAACCTGTAATAGCAAGCCTGCATATACTTCATGGTGGGTTCTGGTTATGCTTTGGATTGGGTTAGAGAGAGAGAGAGAGAGAGAGAGTCTTACATTTGATTGGATAATCTTAAAAATTATGCTAAAACCGTAGTCATTATTGGATGGCAGGAAAGATCATATGCTTTTTATTGGCACATAGGGAGATAGGATTATAATGCAATGATAATGTTTAGTGCATGGATGGAGGTGCCTGGTGATTGTTTCTTCACCATTGTTTTGAAGCACATTATGTTGATGCTACAAGTGAAGTAGGTGAAAACTAGCTCAATTTTTTGAAAGGGTCGTGTCTGTAAAATAAATGAAGGATTTTAAACCCATCATAGTATAAATGCTAGGAAATAAGTCTTGTTGACTGATGGTTGAGGGAGGTGCACGTTGGTTACATTCTTAATCTTTGCCATTAGTCGAGTTAAAATAAATCTTTGACATTATTTGTATTAAGTGACACTAAGTTGGATGATATATTAGAAATCTCGGGACAAGTAGTTACAATTTCTATTGGAATGCAACTAGCCTTTCAAATATCTATCAGNGGATGGGGGGGAGGGACAGAGAGAGAGAGAGTCTTACATTTGATTGGATAATCTTAAAAATTATGCTAAAACCGTAGTCATTATTGGATGGCAGGAAAGATCATATGCTTTTTATTGGCACATAGGGAGATAGGATTATAATGCAATGATAATGTTTAGTGCATGGATGGAGGTGCCTGGTGATTGTTTCTTCACCATTGTTTTGAAGCACATTATGTTGATGCTACAAGTGAAGTAGGTGAAAACTAGCTCAATTTTTTGAAAGGGTCGTGTCTGTAAAATAAATGAAGGATTTTAAACCCATCATAGTATAAATGCTAGGAAATAAGTCTTGTTGACTGATGGTTGAGGGAGGTGCACGTTGGTTACATTCTTAATCTTTGCCATTAGTCGAGTTAAAATAAATCTTTGACATTATTTGTATTAAGTGACACTAAGTTGGATGATATATTAGAAATCTCGGGACAAGTAGTTACAATTTCTATTGGAATGCAACTAGCCTTTCAAATATCTATCAGCATGTTAGTTTGGCAACAAGATACCTGTTTAATACTCCCAAGTTATTAGATCTACTGCATTTAGATTGCAGCGTTTTTGACGTAGTGTTTGAGCTTAATTTTCAGGTCTTGGGTTGTCCCATGTGTTTTGCCTGTTGAATTGGTTACTTTTTCCTTTCTCTATCTTGCCTCAAGGGAAAAAAAAGAGAAAGAATGCCCAGTAATATCTGCATACACTTTCAATCAACCTTTTCTGGGTGCCAATTAGTGAAGCCTCTTTATAAACTGTTGGTTTCTCTTTGTGTGAAAGATATGAGGAATTTCGGCCAAAGGACTATTCACTCGGATCTCTTTCGTTTCATTGATTTTGTCCGAATTCTCCTTTTCTTCGGGAAAAAAAAAAGGTGAGGAGAAGGATCTTCTTCAGTGGATCTCTCTACTTCATGTTTTGTCCTTTCATTTTGGGAAGTTGTTTCTATTTCTACACTTGTTTCTCTCTTGGTTGAAGTTCTGCAGATATAAAGGCGGGTTTACAAGATAACCCTGTAGTTGAAATTTTCCTTCGAACTTACTTATCGACGCAACTACAATGGAGTGCACAAGGGAGGGTAGTCGTCCTCCTTCTTAGGCCCCTGTAACTGCTCCCATAACTGGCTGGAACTACCATTTATTCAAACTTAAATAGATCAATCACACAGGAAATACTACTACCGACAATCAAATAAATAATAATCTGGTGACAAACTCTACAAAGAATGGCATAAAAGAATGATCTTATACTCGGCACTGGGAATTATTATTATTATTATTGGGTAATGGGAGAAATTTTTGGTGAGTAGAGACGTGTTATGTCGTTCAGGTTCTGTAAGTTTGAGTAAAATTGAGGGCAAACTCTGGACGTATGAATCAATCGTATGAATCAATCCTATCAGTTCATATATTAGTTAAATTAGGACTTACAATTCGGTGGGAATTCGAATTCGTATCAGAGATTTGGGTACGATTCGTCTAAATAATTTACCAATAAATCACGTTTTTGTCGTCTAGGGGACTTGAACCCTTAATATGAAAAATGTAAAATTTTCATAAGATAAGAAGTACCATTGAACCAAATGCGAGTGACTCGGAAAATATTAGTTGAGAGAGTTTTAGACTACTTTTTAGAGAATGGTTTTCAACCAGATGGCTGAGTTTTGGGGGAATCTTATTAATGCATTCTTGTAGTCTATATGAATGATGCCAAAGCGCACGTTGAAACCTTCGCTCCTTTCAAAGTTGTCGAGCAACGACCAGATAAAAAGTATCCTTTCATGTTGACACCATCGCTGCAAAAAAACGAATTTAATTACTGAATTTGCACATTTACAGGCAATGCCACGGGAGGTCTCTTAATGGATCGAATTTTAACTAATTTAATTATTTAATAATTTTTATTTTCATGATCTATATTCCAATTCATTTCGATCCAAATAACTTAATTTAACTAAAGTTTAATAAACTATATATGAATTTTAACTAAATTTATTCAAATAATAATTTAATTTCTTTAATATGTATATAGAAACATATATATTGGATCAAATTCTAATTAGATTGAGTATAGGTATATTCAAGTTCGAATTTATGAAATATAAGATAGCGGGTTCAAATTATTGGTCAAAAATATCAATCCATACCCAACTAATCACATTCAAAAATTTTAGTTTTTTTTTTTGTTTTCAAATTTAAATAAGTTGGACAATAGTTGGGCTAATGGGCACAATATGAACAATTTTGAAAATCATTCCGAACTTTGTGGGGCTATTGGGCCAGGCCACAAGTTTACCCTTTGGTGGCCTTAATTCAGCACGTATGTCGGGTTTTGTAGGCAAAAAACCATGGCCCATAACCCTATCGTTTGGGTTTATTAGGTCTCCCATGGGCTGGACCACACAATGGGCCATACCAGGAGCCTTAGGCCATTTGACCAGTGCTTTCATTCAAAAGACCCAAGCACGCGTGCCACCACAAACCACCGCCACCACCACCACTAAGCACCATTACCCGCCGCCACCCACACTACCGTCCACTACCACTACCACCATTATCATCACTGCCACCCATCACTGTCCACTATCATCACCACCACCACCCACCATGTATGCACTATCCAAATACGTGGTTGTCTGTAGAATGATTTTATATTAATTACAGTATATAGAATTAGGAATACTTAAAATCTGCTTAAATAATTGTGCTTCTAAATAGATATTAAAAATTAAAAGACCAAACAATGAATGACATATCTCCCCATAGTGAATTAACCAAAACGGCATTCCACGTGATAGTTGTTTGATAAACACAGGAAGAAATAAGTCAATCGGCATGACTTTTTAAATTTAAAGATAGATAGATAGTTATACGAAGACTCTCATTTTAAAGTAATGGGTCGTTACCCTATAATTAAAAAGGCCACTGCCTCACTACTTATAACCTTAATTTTTTTTATGAGTAGAAATTTACAACATGTACATTAAGTCCCAACCATGATGAGAATTAGTGTATATTGCATGTTTCTGTTTAAGATCATCACACTGACTGCTTTATTTGTCACCAAACACAGCATGAATCTAAAGTGCTGGGCTTGTGTTTCAAGAAGACTAGGGATTAGTTTTGATTGAGAATATGGAGGTCGAGCCTACTGATTAACAAGGGGTTAAAGTCTTACATGAAAGAACAAGAAAGAGAGGGAGAGGATTTTTATTTTTTTTTTGCAAGGAAAGAGATGACGAGATTTCAACCCGCTACTTTAAAGTTCAACAGCGAGGGTGATGAGATGACCATTAGACTCGGGCACAAAACATAAGATGTGTTTGTTTAGTAATTGGAGGGTTTATTTTCTTCTTCCCTGCATGATGATGATGTATTGCTTTTTTATTATCAAATAATAGTGATGAAATTCGAATCTTATTGTGTGTTTTAGTAGTGGCCCATCTTTACCCGAAAGCAATATGTCTTAGTTGGATTTTATAACCTATTTTTTGTTCGGATTAAACAAATGAATGCACAAAATGATACAAAAAAAAGAGTAGAAATAAATAACTCACTATTCAAAACTAATCATAATCATAGTCGCCAATAAATCTTTTTCGTTTTAACATGTTTTCATCTCTCTGGCTAGGACTATTTCAATACACACAAATTCCTACTTACACGCTACTAAAAAAAATTTCAAATTTCTTTCTCTATATTCTCAACTGATAGCAGTCATAATTATTATTAGTATTATCTATACTATATTGCTATACATTAAAATAAACTCATTTAAAGCTTGTGCCTTATTCCTCCTTGTGTCGGACCATCCCTGATTTGCTATTATGCTGACCAAGATTTTGTACCAATATTTTCATTTCATTTCATATGATATGACACAGTTTTCACCATCAAATAAATGGATCTCATTAATATTCAATGATGAAAATTGTGTCACATCACTTGGATGAAAAACTTGGTAAAAAATTTGTAAGCATAATATTACTGTAAAGATTAATGGGAGAAAGAGAGAGAGAGAGAGATTAACCAGCCTCCTTTTTAAGCAATGACATCAAGAAGTCATTCCATATATCAATTGGACCAGGTAGGCACCAGTGAACACAGTCATTGTAGCCCTTCATCCATTTGTTGCCCCAGTGAGACCCAGGGTGTCCATCAGGTCTCATGAGCATGGCTCTTGTCACATCCAAAACTTCAAAACTCTTCCCACTACTGTTCTTCACTAACTGCTTTTTCACTCTTTCAACCTCTCCAATCTGAATGTCTCTAAGTTCAGTCTCAAAACCACCACCCCCCAATTCTATCTCTGCAGGTTCGTGTCGAGGACCAGTTCTGTTACAACTTCCTCCAGTGTTCCATGCCCCATCCTCAAAATGGGCTGGTGAAAATGTCCTTAACACAGTCATTATTTTACCCTCTTTGCACTCCTTCTTGTACTGATTAATGAAGTCGAGGGCTGCTCGGAAAGACATTCTGAGAGCAAACCCGAGGCCGAGATCAGTCACACTTGGCTCCCTGCAATACACACATCCAATTATGCCACCATTTTTGTGCAGGTAAGTTTTTCGGAAGAACCAGTGGCCGTCAGAGATGATAGCATAGTCTATGGTAGGGAGTTTCTGAGCCCAGTTTTCGTCAACCTCGTCTAGATGCAAGTCAAAAATGCCGGAGTTTGAGCCGTTGATAACTCTCTCCTCGCCGGTCACTAGGAATCTGGACCATAGAACCGTTAGGGTGAAGTCATGGAGTGGGAAATACCATGTTCGGAGGCGATCTTCTGAGTCCTGGTATACATCCACCGGAGTTTCTTCCTGCAACACAACACAATGACACGAACCATTAACACGTATAATCATAAATTGGAATATTGTAAAGAGTAATGCTTATCGTAAAACACGTATTTATCACACAAATATAATTATTCATCCCACATCAATGCATGCCCAAACTCTCCAAAAATGTCATTAAAGTCTTAATGACAAGAAAAGTACAAAAAATATGAGAATAAAAAATTTACCAAACTTAATCCGATATAGTCTTATCCTATAAATTTTGGGTTTTCTAAATCTTTTTCTAAAATGGAAAATCGTTAATTTAAAATTCAGAATAAAGAAATTTGACTAGAAGAAAGAGACTAGTATTTATTATTGTCCAATTCAGATTTAATGTCATTTTTGTCTCTACTATTATTTTGCTACTTTCTTTCATAATACGACGGCCTAAAGCAACATGCTCTACATCAAAACGGGATGTGTTAAGTGAACCTTAGACTTCCAAAAAGATATCAAACCCTGACCATGGACACTAATTCATGATAGTTATCTGAGCTTGATATTTCTATGTTCTTTATAGTTTTTTTTTTTTTTTTAAAAAAATAACTAATTATGCATGAAAAATGGCTGTAGAACAATTGAAAACGCATATGTTGTCAAAATCTTACAGTCCTAAAGAATATTTGGGGAAATATCATGATTCATTAAAAACTTGACTAGGATTTTGGAAGTCCTTTTCAACTAATTCAACTGTTTGTGGTTGGAAACACTGATAAATGTGTTTTTATGCTTCCTCTTTTGTTAACATAACGATAAGATAACCACATAAAAAGCTGAGAAAGTAAGCCTGTGTAGTGTGTTTTGAACAATGTTTCTATAAATAAAGTAGTGTCTCGTTGATACACTATGTCAGTAAAGCGTAATGCTATTAGAAATTAAAAAATTGATCTAATTTGTTAACTTAATATTGTGACCGTGAAATAGTTTAATAGTATTATTGTGGCCGTAACTGTTAAAATTCTTCATTGGAAATCTATCAATTAATACGTTATTATACCAATGAGTTATATAAATTTTTTAGTTCCTACAAACATTGCCCGTCGGTCGGTAAACTTAGATGACCTGACTTTGACTGGACGGAGGAGAAGATTAATCAATGTGCGTGCAAATTAACCATGACACCCTTGACAATTAAACCAAAAAATAATAATAATTCCCTAACATTGTAGAGTAAGGTAAAGCCAGCTTCACATTAACTCCCAATAAATGCTTTATACCTCGATTGGCTTTGATGCAAATAATTGATTCTTCAGATTATGACTAATTATGTACATTCAAAATTTACGTCGTAATCACGATTTTAAACAATGCTATGTTCAGACAATTATTTGTCATAATAATAAGAAATAAACAATGGCAATACAAATAGGAATAGGAATGGAACTAACCTTAGACAAGAGACAGAGAAGTGATTCCATATGGTTTCGAGCAACTGAGTCACCAATAAATGCCATTTTTTTCCCTCTAACAATCTTCAGGAAGGTCTTGGGATCAAACCTCGGAAGCTCGCATTGGTCGGGTTTCCATCTCCAATTCAGAAAATCTCTATCTTCCCTCCCATTCTTGAAACAATTCTTTGAGTCAGGAATTGTTGGACAACTCCAGTTCATATATAATGATGCATTTAAATCCCGAATCCATTTACCCTTAAACAAGTTACATGTCTCATCATCTACAAAGAAGCAACAGAGATTGAAGGTTCAAGCAAGAGAGAGAGAGGTTCAAAAAAACTTGCATACAAAATAAAAGAAAGGGTTATACTTGAATTTACCCTTTTGGAGTCGGACATTCTTTTGATCAAAGTCATCATGTTTGAATGTGGCCTTGAAAGGGTTTGGAGTTTGGAAGAGAAAGAGACTAAAAATTAAGGTTGCACCTACTGAACATAACAAGTATGGAGCTAGTAATCTTCCAAAGTTGAGCCATTTCTCCATTTTTAAACACTGACGTTTATCAGAAGGAATAGAAGAGGTCTTCTTCATGTTTTCTTTGTGTGTGTGTGTGTGTGTGTGTGTGTGTGAGAGAGAGAGAGAGAGAGAGAGAGAGATTTGCAAAGGAATCAGTTTGTCTTTCTGAATTAATGATGGGTAGGTGACGAGGTTCTTGTGAAATCTCTCGAGTGTTGACATAGTTTTTGATGTGATTAATGTAAAATGGTAACCTCCACTGTCTGATTCTGAATGTGGAAAAACCTCCTTATTTTGGGGTGTCTTGCATGTGAAATTGTGGTGGGCTGGCTATACTGATGGCGCCTTATATCTCGGCGTAATTATCTATATCAGATTACCAAAGTGTACTTTATTTGGGTCATACCCCTCAAATCCTTACCTTTATCTTTCCCACTATCGAATGATCACTGCGGATTGGTTCACTAATTCAACAAGACAATATGTAAATTCGTGCGTCCTCATTCAACTCATCATTTGCCGGTATTTTCACATGTTCTACGTTTGCAATGTAATCATGAATCCAAAAAACACTCAATTAAGAGTCTCATTAACTATTATCGGAAAAAAAACTTTCCCACTAATGACTTAAGGACCAAATCCTTAGGTTGGTAACATATCATAGGCTTATTATGATCAAACATTGGCTCTTAAATTGACTTCATTCATCTTAATATCAACAGTATTACAATTATATACTTTGGTGTTGATAAGGGTAAAAAAAAAGTATCACGAGTTCAAATCAATGAAATAGTCTTTCAACATGTAAGAATAGGACAACACATATGTAACACTCTTGAGATTTAGTCGTGGCAAAAGTCCGGTACATTAGGCTGATTCCACATAGCTCCAACAATTTTGCTCCCCTAAATTTGAATTTGCATGTGCACCGCAAGTATGATTCATGGGTGGTTGCGAAACTGATGATTTGTCAATTGATCAATGATCAAAGGTTGAATATTGCTGTAAATTGCTCAAACTTGACCATGTTGATGACACCTGCATGAATAACATTTGGAATATGCACGTGCGTTAGAACGAACTGTAAATTTAAATATTTTGAATTTGAATCTTAGTAATTTTTTAAAATTATGTTATGAAAAATTTATTTTTAATGAATACCTATTTTTATCGTAGATGATCTTCTTTTGATCAGACCAGAGAACAGATTAATCAAAGTGTGTATAAATTGGTTCGAACACTCTCACCATTGACACAAAAAAAAAATAGTATCTAAGTTAGATAAATCCTAGACATTAATATTCGTTGTCTCGATCAAGTCTAAAGTATTTGATTCTTAAAGTCACTTTAGTCTATGTTTGTTTGTCGGCCATAATTTACTACATAAGCATTCTTGGCCGTCCATTAGAATTTTATATACTCCAATGTAGGTGTAGGTGTAGGTGTCTCTCTCAAAAGTGAATTTCTTGAACCCTCCCAACACCATTTCTTTTTGGAATGTCAATTCAAAATCGGCACTCTCTCTCACCTACAAATCCATCAATCAAGCAACTATCTCTTGCACCCAGAGTGATTGACTTTGGATATTCTTCACTAAACATGTCCCCTGCGTCAAGTGGTTTTCATCGTGGTGACGCAGAATGAGTTTCAAAAGGTCACAAATGGAAAATTATGAGCAATGCTCCTTCGGCATGATAATTAATACCTAATAATCGAATTGAACTTNGAGTTTCAAAAGGTCACAAATGGAAAATTATGAGCAATGCTCCTTCGGCATGATAATACCTAATAATCGAATTGAACTTAAGTTGAACTTATTTTTTTTAAATTAGTTTAAAAAATTATCCAAAATTAATTAGTTTGAAAAATGAATCAAAACTTAAACAGATCTCAAAACAAATTGAATCTAAGTAGTTCAATTATTTTACATATAAACAATCTAAATTAATCAAACTCGACTTGATTAAAACACAAGTCAAACTTTAATTAAATTTTATACAAATTAAACCCGAATAACTGGACTTAATTATCAACCTTAATGCTACTTGGATTTAATCCGAACACATAATTCATCGTAATCATTAGCTCAGCAACAAGTCTCCATAGCGAAGACGACCTACTTTCCATCTAACAAGTATAATGATTTAGGTCCCTAACTTAAAAAAACAGATGGTTTTCTCAAGCAGGAAGTTATTTTGGCACTCTCTCAAAACAGGCAGTTTTTTTTTTTTTCCTCTGTGACTGATTGGCAATGGAAGAGATAAGCAGAAAGACCAAAAAAAAAAAAAAAACCCCTAAAACTGAAACAAAATGCAATGAATTTAAATCTTTGGTGTGATATTTGGAAGTGTTCCAACAAGAGAGAATTCTGGGTTATAATACACTCGAAAAAACAAAAGCAACACCCCTCATCACCATGGCAACTGGTCAGCGCTAATCATATCAACTGTAATGAGACCAAAATTTGGCAGCCAGGACTACAGCAGCAATAACTGTCTATGTCTATCAAACAACTGGAAGGGGGGGCAAATAAATTAAATAGAAATACAAACCGGCATCTGCTTCGTCAATTCTAACATCCAATCCTCTCCCTAACCACAACGATGGGGATTGCAGGCATTGGCCCAGTTCATACTCTCAAGTTTCTGGGAGAAACTCCACATATGCTCTTTTAGAAACTCAAATATGTACACAGATAACTGATCTGCAGTGGCCATATATTCCAACGAAATTTTGAGCAGCAGGGAAGTTTTCGGGACGCCAGCGGACCTTCAAAGAAAAGTTTTTTTTACAGCAGAAGTGGTTCAGGGCAATGAACCTTGTTTCAAGCCTGCCCTTCAACATCCAACCAGTCGCAACACAACTGCAGGGGTTTGTCATCCGTTAAAAAGCTGCAGAAGATGAAACAAGGCAAATATGAAAAACGAGAAGTACAAAACTTCCAATGTTTACAGGAATTAGAAAGAGAGACGACAGACATCAATGTGTCCTTGAAAGCAAAATTCAGATCATTTGTGGAGAAAAATATTATTGAAGGAAATGCAGTAAGATGATAAGGAGAGGATTTCTACAGAGATTACTACTCAGAAAAAAAAAAATTCAAATTAGTATGAATTTCAAGTTCATTCATGCTTGGTCATCAGGTCATCAAGAAAATGCTAAGATTTTTCAAGGTGTTTTGCTTTGCATGTGAATGTGCTCATTTTGCTGCACTTGAAATTTGAAAACTATATAAAACACACACAAAAATGTCAAAAAGTTTCATAATCTTACTCTGTCCTGTTGACATCTCCAATCCAGAATTAGCTCCACTCTATAAGATGCACCGTATGCCTACAGATGATGTTCAACACAACATTCGACATGCAACCAATATATCATGCAAACCACATCATTATCAGCATCCCAATCACAAGAAGAAAAAATTAGAAAGATGTCTCACCAGGTCTTATCAGGTTTGACACATTTCGCCAAAACTCCTCTCTACTGCCATGAGCAATGCTTGTAGTTGATCCTATCCCCATCCCACCCACCATCAGGCTCCTTTCTTTTCAACACCCCACCAGCCATCTGATACAACTTCAACTGCTCATCTGCCAAGGATTGCGAACCAGCAAAGGGCAGTTGCCTCAATGCTGAAGTTAACCTGTCATCTCGTCGTTCTACATCTGTGCCTCCAGGACCTGCATTAAGGTCTAGACCCTGAATTCCAAATTTTCTACCTTCAGCACTAGCATTACTTGGACCACCTGGAAGGCTCATAAAATAGGGTCGAGGGTAGTGAGTTGATAGCATCCCAGTTGGTCCAACAAGCTGAGTGGGAATGTTAGGAAAGCAAAGTGGGCCACCAGTCGATGAATCCACATATGCGGCTGAACAAGCTGAGTAGGAGTTGGATGAAGGGGGAAAATTGGTCTCGAATGGGAATCCTGAATATTGAAATGGAGTAGCAGGGAGGAAACCAGCTGCAGGAGAGGATGACAACACTGGTCCCCTGTAGATTTCAGGATTAAAAGGAGTGCCTCCTGAAGGAGGACCCAAGACCCTTTGTGAGGCAGCTGCTGGAACAAGGGGATAACTCTGCTCCCCTCTACCAGGAAGCATCGATGGAAAGGCAAGGGCTGAATAAGAATTGCTTGGTGGGAACCAAGATGAAATGTTTCCTAGTTCTGTATTATTCATTCTGATGGCAGGAACAGTGGACAGAAATGGCATAGTGTTTTTGGCAAGAGGAGCTGCATCAGTGCTCACTTCATCTGGACCAGGTCCATCATTCAAATCAAAGCCCCTTGCAGCATTCAATTCAGCATTAGCAAATCCAGCAGATAATGGAGACATACCAGGAAATTGTGAAATTTCCAATCTACAGCTATTGCTAATCAAGGACTGCCCAATTCCATGACTTTCATCAGCTCTGTTCAAGTCAAGATCAAGTCCCCCACCACTATGATCACGAGACCCAGATTCCAAACATGTCAACCGTCCAGAATTTTGAGAAGCCAAATCCTCAAGAACTCTCTGGTCTGGGACATTCAGGTCAAAATCCAAAAAGGGGCGACCTTGTTTGCTGGTACAGTTATCAACAAGAATGGCATCAGTTGTATTGAGTGGCATCTCAAGAACCTTTCTAGGTTCTGCTGGCCGAAATGCACTGGTTGCAGCAGATCCCTTCCATCCAAGTTCTCCCTTATTTCTCAATGGATTTTCAGGAGGAACAAATGGCCCTTTGGCAGCAGCAGCCACAGTAATCGAAGCAGGGAAGCTCCCAGCCATAGTAGAAATTGGGATTGGTAGAGGACAGGGCAAATGAACAGAGGATGAGTTTTCAGGAACTGCAGACTTAACATGCTCCCCTTGGATCCCATCATCAACAGGAAAACCTTCATTCAAATCAAAATCCAGCATTACAGCAGCATCTGACCCAACTACAGAGAAGGACGAAGCATTGGCTCGGGCCGCAGGTCCTTCAGCCCCATCTGCTTCTGTTCCATCTAATTGACACCCACTAGATTTCATGCCTTCGTCTGTTTCTTGCACAGGAATCGCAGGTGACTCTTCATGAGAAGCTGATCCAGCAGGGCACTGACCAAGAACCTCCTTTCTTTCTGAATCACCCTGAGCACATTCACTGCCATGATCCACCATGAATGAACCAATTTCCAAATTTTCTTTCTCCCTCTGCACAGTGTTATTCCCTGCCTTCAATTCATCATCTTTTTCAGCCTTCAACTCCACATCCAAAACATTACAAGAACCAGATGGTGATGCAGTTTCCTCACTTTTTCCACCAATGACATGTAGTGGCTTCTGATCCACCAAGTCACAACTAACTGTTTTTCTGTTCTCCACGATTTTGTCCTTTCCAGATACTTCTGAAGATGAGCAATAAGGTGATTCATCATCAGCTTCCTTCTCAACTTTTTCACTTGCAGGAGCTGCTTCTGGTGCCATTACTACACTGTTCTCAGTAGCATTTTCATCAGCATAATGGATATTCCCATCTTCATCAACCAAGTAACCCTTCGTTTTGAGTTTGGAAATTGAGGTAGTGTTGCTTCTTGCCTTCCCATCAGAATTCAAGACTGTGCCATCTACATTTTGTGGCAGATCCATACTGGACAAATTCAACTGTGCAGCGCACTCCCCAGTCTTCTCCTCACATCCGAATGAAGCAACTTTGCTGACTTTGGAGAAGTTGGAGAGCACAGTTGTAGGATTACGCGGCAATCCACTCAAAGAGTCAACAGAATTAACTTGGTCTGCCATTGCACCAACATTTTCCCCATAATTAGGCTGCTTCTCACTATGACTTCTATCCTCATCCAATTGTCTCAATTTTCCATCATTGCCGGCACAGGAGTCCTCCGGTGCAGGGGATCTTCTCCCAGGAGAACCCAATGGTGAGACATCAGCTCTTGAAATTTCTCCAGCAGCCACACTGGCTAGCAAATTCATCCCAATATCATCCCCAACTGATGCAGATGCAGCAGCTTCAGAGAACTTCACACAGCTTTCAATTAAGGCATTTATTGAACTAAAAGCAGCCTCATATGATTTCCCAGCCTTGGGTGTGACCTGGGATGATAAACAAGTAGCTTTGGATGACTCCATCAGTTTCTCACTATCTTCCCCATCCCTACTCAGCCCATCACAGATAGCACCAGCAGATGATGCATTAACTTCCTCAGACCCAGGAAGCCCATCTTTTGTGTTTGATAAGCTGGTAGTCCGCTGGGCATCACTTTTCACTTTCACCTTTTGATCATGGTAATCAAGCTTGTCAGAATCTGCAGGAGGAGAAGCCTTGCAAAATGTAGAAGAGGGATCATCAGGAGAACCGCCACTGGAACTACATGCTGGACTTCGACCAGTGTTTGGCAACCTGACTATCAGTCGCTGGTTGTTTCCATTATCCACAGGAGGCACATTAGGTTCTCTCTCACATGTTACTCTAGTTGGCAATGACTTCTCAGAAACCGTATTTCTATGTAGAGAACTATATTTTACCGACCTAGTTTCCTTTTGAACCACTGAGGCACCCGAGCCGTGAAGACCATTGCTCAACTTCCGGCTGCGTGAAACACCACTAGAAATCTTACTAACACTCACTGATCCAGCAGTGGAGCTCCGTGCATCTTCCCTGCAAGAAGCCCCACTCCTTGCATGATCACTTGAACAAGACGGGCTATTGTTTTGAGACTGACTAGAATTGCTACTCTTCTCCTCCTTGATCATTGTTAGTTGCAAATCTGTGGTTCCCCCACCAACCAACGTCGTAGAAATCAGATCCTTTATGCTAGAACCCCCCGATGTCGTTACTGATTCTGGCAATTTTGCTGAGCCAGGAGATGCCGTTGAATACTTGGCAACATCTTCTCCAGAACCAAGCTTAACTGGTGTAGAAGACTGTATCATGGAACTCTTCACAACAGAGTCGGATGATCCAATCCGACGGGTCCCTACATGAGAAACTTCAGAAATCACGGACTTTGGAGGCCAAGGACCCCCACGATTTGTTCCAGACTTCGCATCGATAATATTCATTTCAGCTTCAACACGTTTCTTCCATGTGTCAACTAAACTTCTAGCTTTCTTCTGAATTTCAGGATTTTTGTAAGTGCGTAAATTATTCACAGACTTGCCAACATTACAGGTCTGTAGAGCATGAAGATTTACAGGCAGCTTATCCAATGCACGAAGCAAAGCCAATAAAAATTCCTCAGTCAATCTGTCACACTCCCTGGGAGTATTACCATCACCAATCTTGCCTTTGTGGACCTCTTGGAGCCATTCATCCAAAACAGGTAAACCCTTGAGCTGCACAAACCGTCCAAGGCAATCAAACCTATCTGTGGCAGCGAGTACATCAACAAGCATTATTCTGCAAGCCAAATCTATTTTCTTATCAGCACCCTCAGGTTTCATGAGTTGCACTAACTTCTCTACCCCTTCTGAATCAACAAGACCACCTTTATCTGTTATTTTCACAATCTCAGACTTTATCATCTGCTCTGGTCTAAACCGATCAAAATCTGTATCATCTGCTTTCACTGAACGCTCCCGTTTGACAGGATCAGAACCCTGATCACCCCGCTCCCTCTTCTTCCCCTTAACCTGAGACGGAAATGAGGAGGAACTATTATATACACTATCTGTACCAGGTTTTGACTGCAGTGTTCCTGTTGGAACATTCAAAGCTTTCGGAGAACGGCCCCCTGACTGCACTGCTCCATACATTTCTAGTCGTGTCTTGTCTAATAGCTGGTCTACTTCTTCTTGCCGTTTCTGTGTAAAACAAAGACTCCAAATAAAATCAACAGTAAAGAAAATAAGGTAAAATATACATGGAACAGAAACTCATAATACTAACATTAATATAATCCTGGTCAGTTAGCCACCATAAACACTTGCTCTCAATATCATACACTCGTCTGCACACAAACGCGGATATCCCTGAAGGAAGTTCAACACCTTTGCGAAGAAATGCGACTTTACACGGGTGGAGTAACGATACAGCAGGTATTTCATCCTTGTGAAACGAGTAAAAGACCTCGTTGGGTGCCGCTTCCAGCAAAATACCTTTTCCAAGCTTTATGTCAGCAGGTCTGTATAGCCAATTCACACATAAACTAAGATTGTCCTCTTTGCCAAATATTAGCCTACGAATTATTCCGATGAAAGGAGGGGAATCTTGGGGTGGCTTGAACAGTGCACAGTCGCCAACATGAATTTTGCGTCCATCCTACAAGCAATTAAATCCTACATGAGGAATAATCTTCAGGATACATTATAAACAAAATTGAACTAGCAATGAATTTTATAGAAACATTTATATTACTCCATGTTTAGGAACTTAAATAGAAGCATATATGATTAAAAACCATCACAATAATATATCATTACCAGGATGCAAAATGAGGCAGATGGAACAATCCCCTCCACCCCCCCCCCCCCCAACCCAAGAAAAAGAACCCAAAAAAACTACCCCTGAAAGCTAATTTTTACATAAATTAGGTTCAAAATGTGGCATTACACCTGCATAAGGAGAAAGTCCACTTCATATCTAGACATAGGCAATTGATGAAGGCATTGGACACCCTCAAAAATCTAGCTAAGCCAATGACAATTAGTCATAACATGAATGCATGTCCCTATATAGACATATATAGGCTAGCAATTTACGGTATCTGCACTCCTCAGCCTACCATTTACACAGAGAAAATACTACAAGTATATGGTAAAAAACAAGAAGTGTCTATTTTATTAAGCGCATAATTGATTGAATGGTCCAAATCGTCCAATTTACATTTACACAAATCCTGTTCAAAGTTGAATAAGATCTAAAACATGAGAGCAAAGAATTCATCAAAAACATTGCAAAGGAAAGCAACAAGTTACAACAAAACTTGGAAGCAAGGCGATTTGGCTCAGAAAATTATATTCTGTGGAATAGCCCTCACAACAAACTGCGGAGTGGCTGAAATCCAAACTTTCGAGCTGGCATAAATTAGCGCTACCAATCTACCAATGACCTCAATGTGTGTGTATCTTCAACAGTTCAACTCTAAAAAAAACATAAAATAACCAGGACAACCAGATGGTCTGAATTTTAGAAAGGAAAAAAAAAGGCATAAATTTGCATAAGATTTTCCATCTCACTTCCACAAGCAACCCAAACTGAACCAACCCCAAATTTCACCTGACACTTCATTTCATGAATTCACCCAAAACCAAACCCACCCAATACTCAAAATCGTATTTTTCACTAAACCCGACAGAAAAAAAAAATTGAAGCAAAATACATAGAGAACACATAAAGAAACAACCGACATAAATGATAAAACTACCTGCTGCCACCAAAAAAAAAAAAAAGAAGATAAAACTGCAAATGAAAAAAAAAAAAAAAAAAACACGTTGAAAAACCAACAAGACAGGTAAAACTCGATCAAACCATGCATTCTTATGAGCTAATCCACAGAAACACACACACACACAGAGATATATACGTATATATACGTGCTGATGAATGAGGGGCTGTATACTTTGGAAAAATAATCAGGGGGTACTGAAGCGTAATCGGTGGTAGCAGCTACAGACGACGACGAGGAGGGAGCGGGGACCGACCACATGTGCCGCCGGTGTGAACTCTGTTCACCTTGCCGCAGAGACCCATGCATAATAATAGCCGTCCATCATCATCTCCGATAATCGGGCCTTCGTCCTTTCCGAGAACCATCAATCCCAATTCAATTCTCACCTTCCTGATCCCCAAATTTTCAAACTCGATTAATCAAAAAAACCTTGACTGCGCGTAGAATTATAAATACAATCTGTTTTGAAACCACAGATCGGTGGCAAAAGAAAAACCCTACAAATCGGAGCTCAGGCTTTGATGAGAATCACCGGAATTTGATTATTAGGGCTTGGGTGTTACAACTGATTTGGATCCATAAATTCAGAGAGAGAGGATTGCGGTAGCGAAATCGAGAGATTTCAGGGGC